CTCTGCGCCGGCCTTCAGCAGCGGCTCCATGCGGTCGGCGGCGGTCGTACAATGCGGCGCAGTGGAGCGGCGTCCCACCGTCGGTGCCGCCTTCAGCAGAGCTCCACGCAATCGTCCAACACTTATGGTCCTTACTGAATGGACTACGTGGCCGCGCAGCGCTGGCGCCGACAAGGATACAAGCTTTGCATCCACGTAGTCCACCCAGTGCCCTTCTCGGCGACCTGGAGGAGCACCTTTGCACTTCTCTCCTGGCCGCAACTGACCGCAAAGGCGGCACAGGTGACTGGATCCACGCTGTAAAGCCCGAACACCCCGATGAACTGTGTCAAGATGAAGACCGCAGCGATCTTGCCACCGGAAATGACGACATGGTGGTAGTCCAGCAGTACTCGGGCATGCTGCTAGCATCCCCGAGTACTGCTCGAATACCACCATGGCAGTGACTGCCCGTACTGCCTGCGGCAAGTCCTCGCCCGCAACAGTCCAACAGCGTGACTGTGTGCACTGGGCCACAACCTTGGGCACGACGAAGTGCTTGGCCTTTTCATGTTCCTCCACCGCTTGAGGCGGGCGCTTCTGCTTTCCCGTCGCCGCCTTGCTCACCAACCAACGCCGGCCAAAACTCTGCCTCCAGATGCCCAGTCCAGCCCCACGCCACCCAGCATCAAGTTCTCCCCGTTGGACCAAGAGGTCAGAACCAGCAAGAAAATGATGTTGCAAACATATACAGTAAAGCCCGCGGTATTTGCAGTCTACTATATAGTAGACTGCAAATACCGTGGGCTTGACAAGGTCCAGCGGCATCTCGAACTCGTCCTCCTCCTGGGATGCTTTGCCTCTGCCCGCTTCTACGGTTAAGAGGCAATCGTCTTCTTCTTTTGACCCTGTCGAAGATCCCAGTGGCCCTTGGGAGAATCCCTGATGCCGTGGGTGCCGACCAGGACACCAGCCTGCCTGGCCGATGGATAGCACGCCCACGATGAACGCATGCATTGGATATGGCAGGGCCCCAGCGAGTGTGCCGATGAACGGGATCGGAAGATCGCCTCCCATCCCAGCAACCAAGATCCGTAGGAGAGCCATCGTGAGTTGTGGGGCACCTTCCAATTCGCACCAAAAGCTTTGCGCGGAAAAAGCGGCGAGGCTCAAGTGTTGAGGGTTTACGGCTCATCGATCTGAAGGGAAATCTTGGACTGGCTGCGAGGCTGTGTTTCCACCGCAAAAACCAAACCACTAAACCCGAAAAAAAAAACTATGATGGATCCTGCGAAGAAGCTTGCTACACGTCCTGATGTTTACGGTTGCGCAGCCCTCCACCGTAAGTCCTCTTGGCAACCCTCCCCTAAACCGCTGATCTCATCAATCTTCAAGAGATGAGGGAATCTGATGAGGCCCTGATTCGATTCAAAAAGCCATCTAGGGCTTAGGGTTTGGGACTTATGGGTTGGGTGTAGAGTTTGGGCTTATGGTTTAGGGCTTAGGCGTTAGGGTCTAGGGGTTAGGGCTTATAGGGCTCACAGTAGGGTTTAGGGATTAGGGGGAAGCCTTTCGAAAAATAACCTTGCTACAGCCCAGCTAGGCACAGAAGATCATACGGGACGCCGTGGTGGCTTAGGGTTTAGGGTTTAGGGTTTAGGGTTGAGGGTTGAGGGTTTAGGGTTTAGGGTTTAGGATTTAGTTTCTCACGCCTGGTGTTGTGTTGCTTTTTCGATTGAGGGCGTCCCACTCTCAAAGCTCTACACTCACCCCTCTAGTAACCTACGCATTTTTTAACTCGTACCTTGTGGACCAAAAAACCCTTATAAGTAGGGGCCCTGTACCCTTATACTATGAATCCCTATATGGTATATAACCTTAAACTCTTTTAAGGTTCATTTCGTCCCTAGACCCTAAACCCTAGAGCAAGCTCGAAAGCCGCAAAGATTAGCACAAAGTCACACCCAGCCTTGGCGTCGCCCGCCTTGGCGGCTGCCGTCACGAAGGCCCTGCAGAGGGCTTGGTGTCTCGGTGGGTTGATTGCTTTTTCCAAACCCTTCCCTAAACCCTAAACCCTAAACCCTAAACCCTAAACCCTAAACCCTAAACCCTAAACCCTAACTGATTTAAGGCTGTTTTTAAGTTTAGAGTTTAGACTTCCGATCGCAGGGCGTGCCCTGAATCCTGAACCAAATGAATCATAAGCCTGACGGGTGCGGGGGGGGTTGTTCCCAGTTTTCGGGCCCTAGGGTTAAGCGACTCCGAACCCAACTGTCTCACCGCCGTAGTTGATTGAGGATGGGGCTTGGGATGGGCACAACTGCCTCTTTCCTTGCTTTAGAATTGCATCCAGCAGAAACCACCGAAGCGGCAATCACCAAGCCGGCTAAACCCCTTATACCCTTGTTGTAATGTATGGTTTCAGGTTGTTCTCCAAACGCTGAGCCCCTGTATCACGAGCTCGTATGCCAACTGCTTCAAACAGCTGAACTCGCCTTCTTCGTGGTTTCGCTCTCGGTGGTCATGAGGAGTCCGAGTGCTAACAAATCGCACTCGGCGTCGCCGTTGGCAAAGATGAAAGGGATAATATATATATATATAGATATAGATATAGATATAAAGATATAAAGATATAATTACATGCTACGAAACATGTAAAAAAGTATACTATAATATAGTATATAACATACAAGTTTATAGTATACCATATTAGGACATCTCTCTTCTTGCCCGCAATCCAAACCACGGTTGGCCCGGTGAACCTCGGGTCGCATCGACGGCACCCCCTGAAGCCTTAGCGCGGGGAGCTAAGGCACCGGCCCTGGACCCCTACTGTACATAACGCAGAAGCCTTAATGATTAGAATCGGGTTTTGGGGCCCATTATACGACAATTTTGATAAGGAGCTCCCAAAAGAGTATAGGTGGTAATCACCTCAGGAAGGATCCTTAAAGCAACGTTTTCCTTAAGGACGAAATGAACCTTAAAAAGAGTTCTTGAGGTTCATATACCACATAGGGATTCATAGTATAGGGGCACAGGGCCCCTAATAATAAGGGTCTTTTGGCTCCCAAGGATGAAAACCTTGTAGTACCCGTACAGACCCGCTCTGGAACCCCCACAGAAGTCTTACAGTGCCCTGTATAGAACCGAATAGATCCCTAGAAGCAACCCTACATTCGACCCCCATAGCCGACGGACAAACAAGGGTTCCCTTTCTCGGTGTTGGGCAGTTTCAGAAGGAACCTAAGACCACAACAATGGAAAAAGTGCCTACTGGGACCCTAAACCCTAAACCCTAAACCCTAAACCCTAAACCCTAATGGAACCCCCCTAGAGAACCCTTATTATGGGACACTTATAAAGGTAGAACCCTTGAAAAGGCCCTGATGAAGCCCCTAAAGGAATCCTTCAGAGAATACTTAAAGGAGCCCTTACGCCCCGAAGCCGACACCCTAAACCCTAAACTCCCCTAACCCTGAACCCTCAAAACGAAACCCTAAAGCCCAAACCCTAAACTCCCTAAACCCTAAACTCCCCAAACCCTAAACTCCCGAAACCCCAAACTCCTTAAACCCTAACCTCCCTAAACCCTAAACGCCCTAAACCCTAAACCCTAAACCCTAAACCCTAATTCTCTAAACCCTAAACCCTAAACCCTAGACCCTAAACCCTAAACCCTAAACCTTAAACCCTAAAGCCCTTAAGAAAAGTCGGAGAGCCTGAAGGTCTCCGCCTCGGGGACCGTGCCCTTGCCGGTGGCCTGCGCCGGGAGTTCAAGGGCTCTGTAAGGGCCCTACAAATTGAGGGCTCTTTAGAGGTTTTTAGGAGTTTAAGAGTTTAGGGTTT